CAACCCGAGACAGATCCACCTGGAGGCTTTTCACCTGTCTGTCTGTTGAGGAGAAACTTCCCCCACTCCCAGGGGCAAGAGAGCCCATTCTGGGTAACTGAAACTCCCTGGAGCTACACTGAGAATATTCTAACCCTCCTAACAAAGAGGTTCTATTGGGCCCACTACCCAAAGCAACTGCAAAGATGAAAACCATGACTTTTCAGATCTATAAAAATCACCATCTATTTATTTGTGTCCCATCTCATTCCAAAAACAAACTGAGCTCTGAAAATCGTATCATGTGATATACACAAGCTTATTTTTGCATAAACGTATTTTATTATACAAACGTTTTTCCAGAGATACTGGGGGTTTTTGATGTAGTAATGCACTCTCTCACCACCCCCACAAAGCAAAAGATTTCTATTTTTTCATATTCCAAAAGGTACCATCATAGTTTCAAGTCTGTATTCTGCCTTCTCTTAGCATTGCTTTATAACCATTTTTCATGTTGCCACATGATCTTTGCAGCTATACCTTTTCCTAGAATGTAATGTTACATCTACTAGATTTTGCCATCCTGGTAATAGCAGCCCCCATCTTTAGGAAACTCTCCACCGGTTCCAATGAGACAGCCAATCACAACAGCCTCCCTCTGGCCACCTGACTCAGTTTTGGTCAATCACAGTACCCTATTCCTCTGACCATAGAGACTGGCCCAGGAATGAGCAAGTCAGCCTCCTGAGGAGAGAGAAGCTTCTCTTTCCTCCAAGCTCATGAGGCAGGAACAATGTAAGCCTAGAGCTGTCTGTGCCTTGGGAGACAATAGTGGGAGAAAATGAGCCCCATACCTTAAGGGAGCAGAGCCAATAGATGGAGGGGAGAGCCAGGCACGGTGGCACACACCTGTAGTCCCAGCTACTGGAGAGTCTCAGGCAGGAGGATGGCTTGAGCCCAGGAGTTCAGGCTACAGTGTGCTATGATCGCACCTGTGAGTAGCCACTGCACTTCAGCCTGGGCAACACAGCGAGACCCCTTCTCTTAAAAAAGAGAGATGGAGAGTGCCTAATAACGTCATCTGAACCCCTTGGACTTCCCAGTTCCTGAGCTACTACATTCCCTTTTGTGCTTGAGCTAATTTGAGCTAGGTTTTCGTCACTTACAGCTGAAAGAATCTTGACCATTACAATTCATTCCTGAGTGCAGGATACTTGGGAAGCTACAGTTTTTGCCATTACAAATAATGCTGCAGTGAACATCTTTATGAAAAAAAAAACTTCAATTTCAATTAATTTCCATTCAAAATATTATTAAGGAAGTAACCCCTAGGGGCCTAGGGGCTTCAGTGGGATTGGTTTTGACTTTGCTTGGAGATTCTTTTTTTTTTAGACAGAGTCTCACTCTTTTGCCTGGGCTAGAGTGAGTGCCGT